AGGATTTGCCGCATTTTTGGCACATTTTCGTGGCCAATTAGGCCGACTTCTCTGTGTGGCGTAGAGAAGGGATTAAAAGTAACTTTTCGGGCGTAATTGTCAGCAAGAACGCCAAGGGAAAAGGGCGGCAGGATGAAGGGCCTGAAGTAATTTGTGGCGTGTAATTGTGTAGGAGGAATGTAACACAAGGCTCTCGAAATCGTTGTTGTTTGATTGGACGGAAGTGTTAGGCGGGAACGTGCATAGTGTGCGTAATTTGCTCAATGGCCTGTTGAGGAAGAATTGTCGACTTGCGGCAGGTAAAACGACAAAAGATTTTAACAGGCGCTTCATCACTAAGACATTTATGCTTCTAGATTTTCCCGGAAGCATGGAAGAATTTGCTGTCGAGTGCTTACGTTGGTGTGAAGCCGGACATTATCTTAAATAAGAAGTGTGCATTTTTATTCTTTAACCTTGAAAGATGCTCAGCTGAAAGAAGTATAACACTTCTGCGTGAAATGCTTTACGTAAAGCGTATGTGCACTAAAGGTACATCATCATATGATGTTTTAATGAGCAAAACTGCTTTTATCTGATGCAGGGAGTAAATACTCGTATTATATCAAATCGTTTAAATACATTTCTCTTGCAAATAATCTAACAGAAATTTCCTTTTATGGACGATTTCCAGTGATAGTGCGAGATGATATTAATTTAAGTATTTTAATCTTAATGCAGTTTTCCATTAACGAAAATAATTTATTTTATGCGAATAAACTTATTAATTTAAAGTTTCAAACATGCATATTGTTCATATTCAGTTTTTATTTACCTCAAGGAGCCGAAACACCTTTTGTTGCTTATCCGATAACCAGGATTGTAACTGACTTTAATAATGCCGACGATTCTATGATTTCTTTCGTAGCCAAGAGTATTAATTTTCTGAATTCTAGCAGAATATTCACTGTTAAGAATTTATTCAGCATTTTGCATAATAAGTTAATAATAAATATTATTAAATTGAGTATGATAATAAGTTAGCATAAATAAATAAGCTGAAAATATATTAAAATGGCACTTTTATTTCTTGATTAAATTATATACAGTCATCTAAGTGTTTAAAAATTACGAATCAAGGATGAAAATGGGTATGCCTTTGGTATCAAAAACTCATTTAATTAAATAAGGCATTTAAAAATACGAGCAACTAGACATATTTGCTGAAGTTCAAATTTTTTTCCCAACCTTTAAAAAACAAAAATGAAAATTTGTCATGCCATGAAGATTTTAATTTGTTTACCAATTCCCCATATGCGTTTCTTCCACTCATGAATATTTCATGTAATTTTCTTATTCGAATCCCTCCTTAAATCTGGCTTTCTTTTCATTTTGCTGTCTCAGAATCATCAAGAATTTTTTTTTTCGCTTTAAAAATCAAACAAGCGCTTCGTAGTTCACTTATAAAATATCTTGCTTGTTTAATCTTTGAAGTGTGTACTTAATACAAAAGTTTCATGAAAAGCTTCTCTCTTCCTCTCTCTCTTTCTCGTTGATAGAATGTAAGTGAAATATATATTTTTTTCTTTTGAGCTTGGAATAGGTATTTGTTCAAATGACGTTTAAGTTTATATGGAATGAAACTTCTAACAGCAAAAAGTCTTAATAAGTTTCTCCGAAGTTACTTCCGCGAAATGCAATTTTGTGTTTGAGTTACCTTTAATTGAAAAATTAGGGAAAAAATTAAATGAAATTAAAAGAGAGAAAGGTAGGAATCCTAACTTGCTTACATAAAAATCTCCTGATTGCCCCCTTTAAAGTATTATTAAAAGAAATAATTGATATGGTACAAGAAGACTTCAAGCACAAAGTTTCTAAAGTGCGCTGGACAATGCCTTTTTTCTGCCTAATTTTTCTCTTTTCTGTAATGAAACCGCTTCTTAACAGTACGATATGCTAAAAGTGCGGCACCTTTAAGCAAGTCGGCAGATGTTGAAGAAGACAGAAATGAAGGTTCTCCGGCATAAACGTGGCCGTAGTTTTATGATGATCAGTATCTATTATATAAAAAATAGCTTTCGTAAAAGCGTGGGTACTTATATGATGGGGCATCACTACGCAAAAAAGCTTTCAGTTTGGTAGTCTGATTAACTAAGTAAATGAAAATTCTATTTGCGTAGCAATACCCCAGCACAAATGTGCTCTCACCGATATGAAAATTGCTTTTTACTGTTTAGAAACTGATCTTTATAAAAAGCAGGCATTTTTATGAAGGAAAAGCAGATTTCTTTGCTCCTGATGAAGAGGGACCTATACCTGTTGCCTTCGAAACTCTGACGAAGATCTAATGGACTCTTGACTAAAATCTACGCCAAAGATATAATTTTACTGTATGAAGGTTTCTTGTCTTTCCGAACATTGCCTGATTTGAATAAAGCCACCTTTATCAAGCAACATCATTATGAAGGTATCCTCCTGTAATAGCCCACGTTTTGTTAGTTAAAGTGACTTTCCTTAGAAGGAATAAATATTTTATACAAATTATGTTGCTTTTTCTCTATTAAGCTAAAATAGCGAAGCTTCTGTAAATCTAATACTTTAATAATTATCATCAGAATATAACTGTTGCAAACTTATTGAACAAGGGCATAAACTTGTTCTGTGTAAACACTCTCTGCTTACGCAGAACTTTATGCCTATGTAGGGTTGGTTTAGCTTATTTAATAACGGCAAAGCCCTCAAGGGCTATCTAAGTGGAAGGATGCTTTCGTGGAGGACATTTTAAGAAAAAGTGGCTCATATACGCATTACACATGGGTAAACGACTAAAACGCCATTACAGCCAAATTCAGCCCTCTCGCCGGGATCCGAACTCCAGACCAAACTACTAATATTCAGCGACTTTAACGCTTGGGCACCTATGTATGAATTATTGTTTCTTTTGCTTGCATTTTTGTAGTTTCAAAAATCTAGAATGGTCAGCTGTAAATGCCATGTTAAAAGAAATCGCGTAATAAATGAAAAATTCAAACATGAAGGCCCTGAAGCATAATAGGTGGATTGGACGTGAGCCGGTACTTTCAGCATGGTATGGCCGTCGACATAATGGGTGAATGTTATCTTCCACTACCCCACCCCAACCTCCTTTTTGCAAGAGGCTCAAATCAGTTTATATTCTGAGATAGTTTAAAGGCAATAAATGATAGCCGTTTCCTGACGATTCTTTTCGCTTATAGTTTCATAGAGGAGAGGGCTTTATCCCTTTTACGGTAAACGAAAAATGCATTAAAAGCATTTCAGTCTATAAGTTGACCGCAACGTACTTTATTCGAGGAGTTTATAGCTATACAAATAATGCTAACAGAAAAAAAATCTTAAAAAAAAAAAAAAAAAAAAAAAAATTTTTTTTTTCATTGGAAACTTATCCTGCAGTATATCATTTGTCTTCTCGTGTTTAACCATTTATCACGATGCTGAAAAGTCATTTTTTTCCCTCTACACTAGCTTTATTTCCCCTAAAGTAAATTGTAGCAGTAATAGGCAAAGGAGAGGCTTTCATTTATTTTTACGACCTCACTGTTTTTTTTAAGTAAATAAAAAAATGTAATAAATAAAGGTGATGTTGTTATCGCGATTTTCATTAATTTAGCTATTCAAGCACATGCTGTTAAACTTTGAGTGGGAAAGTTTAAGCGCTCGTGTTACTTTAAGATTTTTTTTAACCCTCTTATTTCAAGGACAATAGCCGAGTGCAAAAATATACCTCTCAAAACTTCTCTTAATCCCCACAAAGAATTCAAAATAAAGCTCTTAGTTTTATTAAAAGACAAAAGCTATTGTTTCTCATCTAAAAGCATAATACATGTGTTTTCCTTTGGCTTTATTTTTAATGTTAAATGATATGGGAGGATAAGTTTTAATACTTAAGCTGGATTTTTGAATAAGCTTACGGTTATTCAAAATAGTTTTTATGCGTTTTTATTCAAATAGTTTTTATGCGAAATTTATAATTTTGTAATTATCGCCCTTTAACTGGTAGTTGCTTTATCATTAAGGTTCTCCTTGTATAACTAATCCTCTAGTAACTTGTCTAAGTATTCAATCTTTAAAGAATTATAAGTTTTGAAGTTTATTTATTATTTATTTCCGTTAAAAATTAAACAGATGTTGATACCGTCATTACTAAATCTTAATTAACAGTTTAATCAAAAGCAGTATATTTTAATTTTTTAATGAAATATTTACCACTCTCTTTACGATGCGGTATCACAAAACAGATTTGATGTACTGTAAAATTTGATAAAGCGTAATATATTTTTGCCTTACTTGTTTCTACTTCCCCCCCCGTTTCTTAATAATAATGTTTTTTTAAACAACACACATTAAAAACTGTTAAATGATAATGTTTTAAGTTGGTGTATTAAAAGCCATTAAATAATCGTATAAACAATATGCGTTATGTAGATTAAATGATTATTATTAGTAAATTAAATGCGTTATGAACGTCGTCCAGAATCGCAAAAATTAATAATGGAATTTTTCACCAATCTGCATTAAAAATTAAGAAGATCTTGATAACTTTACTGGTACATTTTAATTAAAATCTTAATCTGAAGCAGGATGTTTTAATTTTTAATTAACGTTTTTCAGCTTTAACGGTATTTTGAAATATATATATATATATATATACTAGATATATAAAGATACAAAAATTTCAGTGCGCTATTCTCAGAAACTTTTCTTCTTCTGTTTCTTTGCCATAATACAATTTTTATTGACAAATACCAGACAGTTAGGGCTACAGAGCACGTGATCTTCAATGTTAAAATGCATAATTCCTGATATGTACAAGAATATAGAAATGTATATATTAATGAGTATGGATATACTGAATTAATATTTTGCTGTATTTTGCATTCTATTTTTCTGCATAGATAGACATATTGGATGGAAAAATTCAGTTACAACATATGTGTGTCTGATTTCTTCTCACTGTATTTTTTTCTCTGTTCTCTTTGCAGGTGTCTTAGAACAGAACGAGTGAGCATCCACAAACACTTATGTCTTTGCCTCTTGCTAGCTGAAGCTGCGCTTGTTGGTGGTTTGGAACAGACTGAAGAACCGAAAGCATGCTCTGTACTGGCCGGCTTCTTGCATTATCTTCTACTTGCAGCTTTTGCCTGGGCTTTTCTTGACAGCTTCCACCTTTATATTCTACTTGGTGAAACCGACATTCATCCTGATCGTTGGAGAGTAAAATGGTATTCCTGCGTAGCATATGGTGTCCCGCTTATTGTAGTGACCGTATCTGCTCTCATAGATCCAGCCAGCTATGGTACTGAGAACTATTGTTGGCTACGAGTAGATAACTATTACGTTTTTAGCTTCGGTGGACCAGCCATTGCCTGTGCTCTGGTAAGTTTCTTGTTTCTAAGCATAATGGTGATAATCAGTTATGTCGCATTCTGATACTATCCCAATATTAATCTTTAACCTTCTAACTACATCCCATTTAACACTAAGTAGATTAAGAACTGGAGGTACGTCTTGTGCATAGGTGGATTTATGCTGTTGCGCATGTTCCAACCGTGGGAGCCCAGCGTTCTAGATAATCCTCAATGTCCTAAACCAATTTGTAAAACATGCAGTAAATATGTCCTTGTATCTTAAGATAAGCGTTCTTCAGAAGTTCATGTGAAGTGGAACTCCCATTTCGTACATTTCCCACTTGTGTAATGTAGCTTCCTGATATTTTGTATGCACCTGTTTTTTACTTTTAGCTTTACTGTCGTTAAGGTCTATTTATTAACATCTGCATGATTATTTATGAAAAAATAAAACTAAGAAGAACGACAAGTTCTCCCTCAGTATTGAAAACTATGAGAGTTCAAAATGCATTATTATTATTTATATATTACTTTTCGAAATTGGGTAGTAAATGACGATGTAGATAATGCTACTGGGAATATGTTGTTGTTGTTTCAAATAGCCCGACGCAACTTAACGCATTCATCGGGAAAGGCCATTATCCATCTATTAAGCGTTTTTATCACAGATACCCATGGTGCCACAGGGGATGATTGATTTTACAACCGCAGAAACTGGGACTTTCTCTCCCAACTTTGACGGCGAACATAACTGAGGGATTTTCTCATCTCTTCTTCTGTCACTAAGCTTTTTGAAAGTTTCTCGCCGGTACATTAAGTGTCCCTGTACCGTACAGATACTAAAAATCTAGCTCACTGTATCAGTTAGGGTGGCTTTGAGAATAGATATATAACGACTTACTTGGTTGGGAGATAAACGAAGTATGTTATAAAATAAGGGTTTTTGGCTGAAATAGAAATTGGATGTGTATTTACATATTCTTCAAAAATTCATGTTAAAACAAAGTGAAACTTTTAAAGAAATAACGAACGAAATGAAAGAAATATTAAATTTTGAACGGATGCTATCTTGTGAATCTTTTACTTCAGTTCGTTTATCACTTCCTTAATTCATTTTTTCATAACAAAAGGTGGGAAAATAGAGAAAACTTGAATAAAGTAATAATAATTGTTTTAATACATCATTTAAATTAATAGTCTTATATATTCAGAACTAATTTTATGTTCTTTTATCGTTCTGCTTGTCAGTTTGGTAGTTAGTGTATTCTTTAATTTTTTCCGAAATAAAGTTTTCATGATTTTACAGACTGAAAGGTTTAAAAAATTTTTAAATAAACAATGACGTTATCAAAAGAAATTATTCTAGTGTCTTGCATTAAGTATGATTTTTAAATAAAGGTGTAAAAGTGATTATCTACATAAAATTTTAATTCAATACTAAAAACAAATTTGTTCATATTTTGTTCATAATGTATTATCATTTTCAGGCCTCGATATTTTTTCTTTGTTTGACGGTGGGTCGCATATGTGCCCAAAGAAACAGCACCATCCCTATCAAGAGCAAGGACCAGACGAAGTTGTCAGCTGTCAAGTAAGCCATTTCTGTATATTATTCTATGCAAATCGTAGGGTTTGCGAGCACGCTAGCGAAGAAGTATTTCCTTGCTCTTTCTGTCCAAGCTATTACTGCGAGGGAGAAAAACCATTTCTTTCACGTCTGTATTTAAACTTCGGATTACATTCAGCCCTTCTATCAAGCGGGAAAGAGAATTCGGATGCCGAATAGAAATAAAAATAATCTTAGAAACTATATCTTGTTTGAGGTGATAATAACATAAAAGTAAATGGAATAATTGCAAAGAGTAATGAGAAAAGCTTTTGTAAAAGAAAATATTTTACAAAGATTACTAAAATTTATGCTATGCTGAAATATCGTGAAGCTTTGAGTATCCGGACTAATGCTTGTCCTGTATAAAAATAATCCAGACAATTTTTTTCTTTCTGTATGGGCTGAATTCTTATCAGAAAATTTTATTTTTTCGTTACGAATTAGAAATTTTATTTCAGCAGAAGTTATACGAGGAATTTAATTTCAACAGAGGTCATATGGTTATAAAATAAAATACTTTTAATTTTCTAAGACAACTTATGAAACGGAATTTTATTTAACAATACTAAGCAATAAAATGCATTTTTCATTTGATAAAATAGTTAATCCATTTCTTTTTTAACTAAAATAAATTATGCAGTTAATTTGTATGTACGTAAACATGAAAATTAAACGCAGAAGCTGGTTTTGTTTTACCTGTGTTAAAGAGAAACTACTGTTATTCTTTAGAGAAGTAAAACGTGTAATGTATTTCTGTGCAACTAAGATTAAAATGAGACATATTTAAATAAATAAAATGTTCGTTGCGTTCTAATTATAAACTTACACACCAGCATTAATCTTTTAAATAAATATAATATTTTGTCTATTATGGTGTACCAGGCTAAGATATGTAAATGTATGCGAAACCTTAAATTTAATTGAATTTCGTGTAATGTAATGTAATATACGAATATGCTGCAAACCTCCTGACAGACAATAATCGACCTCATAGTTAACGCAGCACAGATTACAACAAAAATATAGTTAAAAACATCAAATCAAAATTCCTAATTTATAAAGTTCATCAAATTTAGACTCTTTTTTGCGACAATAGACTTCCTTTATGTTACCATATTTTTTTCCGAGTATGTCGTAATAATACGCAGTCTTCGAGGAAATATCGTGCATTGCTTTCAGCCTGATTTTAAAAAGTTGACGAATACCAAATTCGTTTTCAATTTATATATTATCAGGATACGGATAACCAACATTATTTGTGATGTGGCAGGTGTGGAATTCAGATGTAGTGGCTATTGTTTCTTACAGTTTTTTTTAAATTTTCTCTTTGTTTGCCTATGAAATGACATGTTTAATAGTTGCGTTTTTTGCTCGTTACTATTTCATCTGCTGTACATTAAAGTGACATAAACGCAGTTAAAAATAATTACATTACTTTTAAAATGTAATATTGTATTATTATATTAGCTGATTACAGCATAGATGCAATTTAAAATAATTATATTTCTCTTAAAACGAGATATTGATTTACAGGTTTCTTGTAAAAGAAGCAGGATCATTCGATTACTTGAATAAAATTACATATTATTATTTCAACAAATCAAGCAGATTCTTATTCACAAAGAAATAATTTAAATTAGATTCACACTTCATGTATTTTACTTTTAGTTATATTTTACATCGCGAACTGCGAATAACTGATCGGAAAATGAATATTAAGCAACAATTCTTGAATTTTAAGTGGGGAGGGGGGAGATCTCTCCTCTTCTTGCATTTTACATTTTTTATTATTAGCTCTTGCATATATTACGATTTTTTTTATTTATCCTCTTCTTTTTTGCGGGAGAGGGAAGAAAAAAGGCAAAAAAGAAGGGTGCACGCAATATTGCAATTACTTTCAAAAGTATAAAACGAACGGCAGTTGTGTCTTGATATATTTTTTGCCTACGCGTGCGTATGTATCGTAAATGTATTTTCCACTGAGTTATGTTTTAATCTCAGAGTTGGAAAATGCATTAGCGATAACCCTTGTATTCATTTGTCATGAGTTTAAGACTGTCTCCACCCCAAATCTCTTTTTTTTTTAAATTTTTTTTTCATAGTATAGAAAGGGGGCTGGAGTAGAACATCTGCCTATGAACTTCACCGGAAGTGATTTATACGAACCCTGCTTTCAACACGAACTTTGAACTGAATAATTAAACTAAAATTCTCATGCCGATACAACAATTTTTTTTTTTTTTTTCTTTGTGAGTTTTGCGTTGTCCAAGGAAATATTTTAAATATTGATGCTACTTATGTTAATCTTGCTTGTCTTTGTTATACGTTCTGGCAATAGGAGACGTTGAAACAAAAGATAAGTTGGCAATGTTTTATTAAAAGAAATTTGGGATATCATCGTAATAAATTTTGTCAACTGTTGTTTAGCAAGTTTGTTCGAATTTTTTTAATGTTAGTCCTAAAACTTTGTAAACACATTGTTTAGACTGAAATTGATTAAAACAATTTAAGCAAATAGAATTATTTCTGCCTAAAAAATTATTGCCATTTTCTGGCAACATTAACATATGGTCTTTTTGGCCTTTGGCCGAAAATGGTGTTTCCGTAATTAGTGGTTTCGGAAAAACGAGTTTACATTACTATTTACACATCACTCTGCGGGATATTTCACTTTTGCTCGAAACATTTCACATGATGTGCGTTTTCTTCTGCGGTTTGAGCGATGTTTTAACCACCCAGTTTAACCCCTCCAGCGACTCAAAAGCCCTCTCTGTTGCAGTTTGTTTTCTTCAGAAACTAAAGAGGTGTCCGGCCTTTTCAACATTAGGGAGATTTCGAATCGGAATCCTTCCAAATCCATCACCTAAATCCGGAGGAAATCAGAACCTTGATCCCCTATCGCATTCGATTTCCCCAAAACCGGAGCCGATTGATTGCTCGGACTATCGTGGATATTCCTAGAGAGAGAGGAAAGAAAAACTGGCTGTGTTATTTACGCATTGAGTGATTCTAAGATTCGGCGCTTATTTATTGCCAGAGGTATTAGTCTACTGATGTGAAATGTTCAGAGCTGCTAGACACCTTATTTATTTCGACTGGAAGTGATTAATCTGTTGGTTCTTTCTCATTTTCTCTACCCCGCCCCCATTTTAAAAACATTTTTTGTCTAGGAGCAATTCAAATATTTCTTTATACTGCTGTGTCGCCTTTTCTTAGTACATTCACGCATTTTATATTGGAGAGAAATTCTCTACAAAATTTGCTTTGTAGAATTTTATTCCTTAAATAACACAGAAGTCTCATTGATTATTCCAGAAATTCCAATATTCACGGTTAATTTAGTGTCTGCTTTTAAACACATAATAAGGTATTTCTCCCGCCTTCTTAGCATGCCTTCGTGGTGTAATGGTCCGTTCGCTCGGCGCGTATTCGAGAGGTCCGAGGTTCGAAACAGGCGGGGGCATTGCTCATTTTTCATGGCTTCTGCTTCTAAAAATCCTAATGTCTAAACCTGTGTGTTTATGCTACCAGAATTTTATTGTATGGGCTCAAAATAAGTGAATTTATCAGTTTCATTTTGTGGCTCATGAATAGCTGATTGGTGAGACTTATAGACACTGTAGCTGTTCGACCCTAATGCAATTAGCCAGTAGCTCGTTTAGCGGGATTTAATACCGGTAAACGGGCTGGTTGAATCAGAGTTTCGTGTTTTTTCTAGTGAAACCGAGTCAGTTTCCTTTAAGAAGTTCTCCATGAAGGTATCTCACCCTTTAGGCTGATACTCCTCACGTCATTTTCCATGATTCAATCTAAGCCAGTTTGCCGCCTAGTCGGTATAGTGGTCAGGGAAGCTGACTGCGATGCCGAAGGACCTGGGTTCGAATCCCGGAGAAGGCGTGGTTGTGACTGTCCGTCCCTTTATAGGATTATGATTAGTATAGATTATTGGACTGGGTTACATTTGTAATTGTTCACAATCTGCCATTGGGGGGAAAAATCTAAGACAGTCAGATTTTGCTTCATAGAGTTCAGTGTGTGTGTTTGTGCGAACAGCCTCCGAAACCAATGCAGGGTTTACGTATAAGGTACACAAGCTTTAGCTTAGGGCCCTAAAAATTAAAATATAGTATAAATGTATAGTATTAAAATATAACATAACAGACTTATAAAGGACTCCCCAAAGGCTAAATCCACCCACGTCCGAAACTATATTATAGCGAGAATCGTGACATCATTCTGACTTTAGGATAACGAAGAGTTAAAAATAATCCTGTGGAAGCAGTCCCTCCCCCACCACCATTAAGATTTGCAAAACTAATACTAAAATACATTAGAACTGTAACAGCAACAAAAACAAAGCCAAAAAAAAAAAAAAAAAAAAAAAAAAAAAAACTGCCTAGAACTAAAAGCAGTGCAATAAAATCTGGTTTGCCGCCAGTTCGTACATTGAACTTGACCAGTTTCTTATTAATCAAACGTAGCTTGTGCAACACTCGGAACTCATCTAACATACAAGACTAACTTCTTATAACTAGATGTTAGTCTATTAGTTATTATTATGCTTTTTTTTACCTCCTCTCTCACTTGTGGCAAAAAATTCCAGTCATTTAGTGCTATCATTAACTCATCCGATTTCTATCTGCTTCTATAAAATGGGTATAACATTTAGCAAATACCAAATATATTGTTTAGTTAAGTATTTGGAGACTTAAATAAGTTGCGTTTTTATTAATTACGGTTTATTAATTTATTTTTTATAATAATTAATTATCTAAAACAATTTCGCTTTCAGTTATATTTGTACTTTTTTGTAACTCAAGACACTATTTGAAAACCTGAAAATAGAAATATTGTTCAGTTCGGAATCTAAGAAAACCTAACAATTCAGCTAGAATTTTATTCTCTTAAAAGAAGACATTGCGAAATGTCCAACTATTTCAGTAGCACTGTTCGATGCTTTATATTTTTTCTCAACCAAAGGA